GATTGAAAATATTTATGAAACTGTTTGTTCAGAAACTATTTATCAAAGTATGACTTCAAGATGTTTGTATACACTGGATTTCGGTTAAGCCGATTATTCATGAATTCACCAACTTGATATTAAAAAATGTGATCATCAACACTCATTGTGTATACTTTGTATACCTCTTTCAGTTAAGCCATTTACCTCTTTACTTTACCAGTTTTATACTAATGATACTAACAGCTAAAACACAGGATAATGAAAAGATGGTGATTTGTAAAAAATACTGTATAATGAATCAGAATTGAGCTGTGATACAAATTAAACATAAATAATGCAGTTACATTTTGTGCACAATAATTAACGGTTTGAGAGAGAGTGAGAGAGTTGATTGTAAGCTTTGGTGGTTTGCCACATTTTGAAACTACAAAGTCTCGGGATGACCTAGCCTTGATGATTTTATTTATTTGTTTTGGATCACCAGACTCCCCAAAGATGTTCGTGATTATCAAACTGGCCAGTTTACAATTTAATCAAACAGGGACTATTATGTAGGTTTGTGATCTACATCACTCCTTGCTGATCAGTGCAACGGGCCAATCGACTGCTGAGTCGATTATTGATAATTTTTATTTAGTATTTAATATTTATGAATTTAATGGGAGTCTATCCTCATGACCCTTTATCAACCCTAGCCTTCGACCGAGCACTCTGTTACCCCCATTTACGTTACACAATCAAACTCTCAACATTAAAAAATGTAATACTGTTCAAAAATTATTCTACACATGAAATACAAACGTTTTAAATAATAATACTGATGATGATAGAATCTGACTTTACATAGAATACAAAAATAATAATATCACAGATAAACATTGCTCTTTAAATTAATATACCATTTCAATTCAATTTAATAAATAATTTTCATTTGACTAGGTTCACTATTATAACTTAAATCCTTTGTATGACATGACCAAATTTAATAAAACATTTTATCCTGAATCGTGACCATGTGCTCTAAGTAGACCAAATGAAACATGAAAATCTCAGACCAAACAAAACATGATTCATAACTTGTAAAACGAGTGATACATGTGAAAAAATGTGGCAGATTGGCAAGACTATTTTAATACTAAAACACAAATAACACAAACATTTACTTACGTACACATGTCGACACATTAACATTCATTCCGACGAAGATTCACGCGTACCGAACATTTAAAAACTGACTCGTGGTAATTTTGACTTTTTGTCTGACCGAGCGGAATATCACGACACGGTTTTTTCTGGTGTAGGACTTATTAATTCTTGTTTTTTCGAGCTGGCGTTTAATGATTCAATTGAAAATACCGTCACGACGACCCGCGATTCGCTAGAAACTGACATTTGCTATCGATATGATGCATGTACGAATTTTCATCACGAACGCGAACAATCAATCCGGCATCTCAACTGTCTCGACTTAATATTAATAAAACACACACCCAAATGCAATTCGGCGAAATTTTGACAATTGCGATCGTTTGATGCACGTACAATTTCCGCCCGAACGCTAATTTCCGAGCTACGAATTAAGATATTAATAAATTCGTCCTACACCAGCGACAAAACGCGACTTCACATGTTGACTACGCGATTACTGAGCCACGAGTGACGAGGACGACGAGACGCTTTGCAGACGACGCGGTTCCCCGGTCTTCGTATCCTTCCGCGTTACGTCATGTTTGACTGACTTGTCCATTGCCTGTCGCGGATTTTAAATCTTTTGATTTAAAAATCGGCACAGAAATCTCCCCTGCCAAAAAAATTGGCCCGAGCGACCTTCAGGTCCGCACGAAGGCCTTTTCCATCCCGGGACAATTTCGACCCGGCGCGACGACGCTTGACGTGGCAACAGACGCTTCATTCATACGACACATTTTTTTCCATTGATTTACATTTAATACATTTAACACGAAACAATTTTACACATAAACATTTGAAATTTGAATAACAAAAATATAAACTCTGAAACTTTAACAATAATAAACTATTTGCTTTGAGGTCAATGTTTGAGAAATTAAAATTGTTGTCAACTGACACCTTGCATCATAAAATAGACTACTTCAATCCATCAACAATTTGAATGGTGTAAACGCGCACGCTTAACACACTGTAGAATTATCTAGCATTCAGCGCTGAGTAGATGTCAACAGTCAGTTCATTGACCCGTAGCGCAGTCGACAGTCAGCTGTTGCCGATGGAGTGGGCGAGGGCGGGGGACATTGTTGTGGTGAACGGCCCGATGTCTGCCTGTCTGTGCGGGTAGGTTCTACTCTCGCCCCACCACAGCTAGAACGTGACCTCTGTTGGCCAGCCTTCATGTCGCTCACAGTGGTTACATAATATGACTCATAATGATTCATTGTTTCTCAAAATATGTAATTAGGAAAATGTGTAAAACAATTGACCTCAGTTTGACTCTATTTACTCAAAATTGAAAACTATTGCACATGTAAATATAAATATAAATAATCTCTGTACGAATATGACACAAATAAACAAACAAGTAAACAAACACAGAAATATCAATGTGGATCAATTGGATAATTGCCTTAGAGATAACAACTGATACCCTTATCAATGCCAACCTGCCTTGGTAGTAATGCCAATCTGCTTCCTTGTTACCAGACCTCTCAAATTAGTGCTATCACTTTTTGTAAAGAAAAATAAAAACAATAAAAGATAATAGCTCTTTACTTGTTACTTCATTCCATCAAATAAAATACCCTCACACCTTTATGTAATGCAATTTGGCTATTCCATACAGGTGTGAGTATAACAAAAAGTTGCCCACTGGTGGGGTTTTAATGAATTTAATTTATATTAAATTGAACTACTGAGGACATTACAATCACAGAGCTGCGCAGTGGAAATAAAGATGTTAAGTGTGGGCCCTGTAATTAAATATCCCAGAAGTCCGATTTATGGACCGTGAGAGGTCTGATATGTTGTCCTCCTTCACACCTTCTTCAGCTTAATTCTAACACTTCTTAAAACTAATAGATGTGTCTATTTGATCACTCCATGAAATAAAATGTGCTGTTCTGATGAAAGATTGTGATATGAATTGATACTCTGTAAAACTGTAAAATTGCAAATAATAATATTGAAATATTGATTGAAAATATTTATGAAACTGTTTGTTCAGAAACTATTTATCAAAGTATGACTTCAAGATGTTTGTATACACTGGATTTCGGTTAAGCCGATTATTCATGAATTCACCAACTTGATATTAAAAAATGTGATCATCAACACTCATTGTGTATACTTTGTATACCTCTTTCAGTTAAGCCATTTACCTCTTTACTTTACCAGTTTTATACTAATGATACTAACAGCTAAAACACAGGATAATGAAAAGATGGTGATTTGTAAAAAATACTGTATAATGAATCAGAATTGAGCTGTGATACAAATTAAACATAAATAATGCAGTTACATTTTGTGCACAATAATTAACGGTTTGAGAGAGAGTGAGAGAGTTGATTGTAAGCTTTGGTGGTTTGCCACATTTTGAAACTACAAAGTCTCGGGATGACCTAGCCTTGATGATTTTATTTATTTGTTTTGGATCACCAGACTCCCCAAAGATGTTCGTGATTATCAAACTGGCCAGTTTACAATTTAATCAAACAGGGACTATTATGTAGGTTTGTGATCTACATCACTCCTTGCTGATCAGTGCAACGGGCCAATCGACTGCTGAGTCGATTATTGATAATTTTTATTTAGTATTTAATATTTATGAATTTAATGGGAGTCTATCCTCATGACCCTTTATCAACCCTAGCCTTCGACCGAGCACTCTGTTACCCCCATTTACGTTACACAATCAAACTCTCAACATTAAAAAATGTAATACTGTTCAAAAATTATTCTACACATGAAATACAAACGTTTTAAATAATAATACTGATGATGATAGAATCTGACTTTACATAGAATACAAAAATAATAATATCACAGATAAACATTGCTCTTTAAATTAATATACCATTTCAATTCAATTTAATAAATAATTTTCATTTGACTAGGTTCACTATTATAACTTAAATCCTTTGTATGACATGACCAAATTTAATAAAACATTTTATCCTGAATCGTGACCATGTGCTCTAAGTAGACCAAATGAAACATGAAAATCTCAGACCAAACAAAACATGATTCATAACTTGTAAAACGAGTGATACATGTGAAAAAATGTGGCAGATTGGCAAGACTATTTTAATACTAAAACACAAATAACACAAACATTTACTTACGTACACATGTCGACACATTAACATTCATTCCGACGAAGATTCACGCGTACCGAACATTTAAAAACTGACTCGTGGTAATTTTGACTTTTTGTCTGACCGAGCGGAATATCACGACACGGTTTTTTCTGGTGTAGGACTTATTAATTCTTGTTTTTTCGAGCTGGCGTTTAATGATTCAATTGAAAATACCGTCACGACGACCCGCGATTCGCTAGAAACTGACATTTGCTATCGATATGATGCATGTACGAATTTTCATCACGAACGCGAACAATCAATCCGGCATCTCAACTGTCTCGACTTAATATTAATAAAACACACACCCAAATGCAATTCGGCGAAATTTTGACAATTGCGATCGTTTGATGCACGTACAATTTCCGCCCGAACGCTAATTTCCGAGCTACGAATTAAGATATTAATAAATTCGTCCTACACCAGCGACAAAACGCGACTTCACATGTTGACTACGCGATTACTGAGCCACGAGTGACGAGGACGACGAGACGCTTTGCAGACGACGCGGTTCCCCGGTCTTCGTATCCTTCCGCGTTACGTCATGTTTGACTGACTTGTCCATTGCCTGTCGCGGATTTTAAATCTTTTGATTTAAAAATCGGCACAATATACATTTTTTAACTAGCACAAAATGTGTTTACCTAAAAACTAAGAATGTATGATCAAGGAATTGAAAAAAGTCATGAGTGAACACAGGTAACAAAAATACTTTATTTACAGTTAGGTAACATTAAGTTCATAACTAAAAACTTACTAAGTTATACATTTATTCGTGGAAAGCGTATTGGAAAAGGCTGACGATTATCGGAGAAAATCTGCAAATTCTGGTGATTTTTTTCATAGATCATAGAAAAGTGGTTCACCAGCGGACAGCCAAAACACACAACAGCCTTTAGCTTGTGGCAGTATTCTGTTACAAACCTACACAAAAGAAGCACTAAGTATAAGAGGTAGAACAAACTCTTTACTATATAGGGTGGAAAAAAGTCCAGTGACGGTTAAATATTTCAAAAGGTAATACAGATAGAGCTTCAAAACTTGGTACAAAGTTACTTGGCATTAAAATAATTTTAACACTTGATTAGGAGGTGATGCGCTATCTCCTTAGGGTGCGTTAGGAGTCAGAAGAAAATTTTAAATGTAAGCATAAGTTGACGGACAAATGGACAACTGAGTCGAAAATGACAGCCATTTAAGGATATGTTGAGTCTGCCTTTTTAAATCTTTGAACAGCTGTCATTTATTACTCAGTTGTTCTTTTGAACTCAAATTTGTGGCATTGTATTCTACTAATTAAGACTTCTAATTTGTTGTGCATATCAACCTATGCTAATGTAAATGATTTTCTTCCAACTACTAACGGACGCCTCCCTGGGGAGGTTGCGTATAGCATCATTGTAAATTCAATGCATCTTTCAATAGCTGCCATTTTTGACTCGGTTGTTTGTTTGAGTTCGGATTTGTGGCATTGTATTTTATAAACAAAGACCTTTTATTTGATGTATACCAACTTATGCTTACATTTAACATTTTCTTCTGACCTAGCTGGCTGCCCCCAACTGTGTACCAAGTTTTGAAGCTCTACATTTATTACTTTTTTAAATACTTTTTCCACCCTGTAGGCCTACATTATTAATCATCACATCATTATTATTAAGCTTACAGCTAATTTCCCACACCACAGGCACATTTAAATAGTAGTTTATTGACGGACACAGACTTGTAAATTTTTTTATTGATGAAATAAGAGCAATGTTTTATGACAAAAATTTTGTAAATGTCAGGTGGTATTAGCGAATATCCCATATAGGGAATAAGCTATTACCGTAGTACTCATGGTAAGACCTGGACCCGGGACCGATTTACTTTTTCATTTTGAGGTCCCTGGAGGCCAAAACACCATCCGTTCAAATTCATATATATATATATTTATATATGCGTCCATTAGCACAATAACTCGAGCAAAAATGATCAGATTTTGATGAAATTTGGTACAAACGTGTAAACCTACATTTATTCAAACGAGCGACTATGGGAATGGGGGTTTAAGGGGTGTTTTATGGGGTAAAAATTGGGTTTTCCCATTTTTGGCCAAAAAAACATAACATTTTGCAATGCAATGTCTTTCCAAACCAATGCAATGTCTTTTTTTTTTGTAGAGCTTCAAAAAAACAAATAATTTAGTATATTGAAGCGTTATTATTCGCCTAATGGTTACGGAAAAAATTCCAAATAATTGTAAAATTAAAATTCCTATGTTATTCTTATCGAGAAAAAGGAAACTGTTGTAGTTTGCTTGTTTATGAACATATTTTGATGAAATTTGGAAAATGCATTCATATCTTACTAAACTATTAACATTTGAAAAAAAAACTTTTTTACCCTTCCTGTTGCAGCAAGCCTAGTACTCGTTAAACTAATTATATTTTAAATAGGGAATACATGTGATATTTTTAAGGAGACATTTTAGTGTAAATCCAATCAGGCAAATGGAAATTCGCTGAGTCTGCACGTTTGCTGCGGTAGGGGTATTTATTATCATTCAACATCACTTAGAGAAATCACAAAATTTTAAGGGCCTTAAAGTATTGTAATGATTTTAAATGGGATAAGAACCTTAAAAAATCAACTCCAAAAATTAAAACTAAACTAAATTTTATGAAAATGCAAGAAGGGCAAAAAGGTGTGAAGGGCATTGCAGGGTGTAGTCCCTAGCTCTGTAAAAAGTCATAAACAAACTAAGACATTGCTTTAAAACAACCTTCTTAGGGAAACAAATAATATGCTTTTATTTGCTATGGTTATTACTTATTACACCCACCAGTTTTAATATGACCAAAGCTTAAATTCTGATCCCAGTATATGATAATTTAGTAACAAACAGTTAAATAATTATTCAGTAAATATTCATCATATCTTCATACATTATTGTATTAAAATTAACAAATTGCAAAAGGTGAAAGTTTGAATTCCTCTAGTAAATTCATATCTGAAGATAGCTCACAAACAAAGAAAGCAATTAACCAATAAATCTATATATTAATTACATAAGCCGATTCTTTGCGTCAAAATTGTGCGACTGGGATGTCGTAGAGGGAGAGGGCTCAAATAAAGGTCTCTTTCCCCTGACAGCGGGAAATATAGTGGAATTCCCAAAATTTTAACACAAAATTAGATATAAAGTAAAATGTTCTCCATAAGAATAGCATTGGAAGCCATACACAGCTGATTTTTGTTTACTTTAATGTAGTTGATCGCGCTATATTTCCAAGCCAGTATTTAATACATGCCGTTGGTTTACTTCTTAGCCAGTTAACTCTGCAATGCACTGTATACTATATTTAAACCAAGTACTGTATAACGTTATCTATTATTGAGACTTTTTGAAAACTAGAAAATTGGCTTTGACAACTAGGATTGGAACCCTTAAACCATAAAATATTACTCAATGTGGATAATAAAACTGTTCATTTTTCATACAGTACTTATTTACTTCCCAAAAGTTTCATCACGATCGGATGGTTGTTTAGTAACGCATAATGGACAAACATCGGATTTCATATATATAGATAACAAAAAGCAAACAGAGAAACCTTTTAAACAGACATATGGTGTCCAGGCGTATCTATCATGACAAATAAATAATTAGATTTTTAAGTTGTTTAAATATTACAATAAGTTGTTTTATATTTTGAACTTTTATAGACTTGTGTCCCACATGCCACTAGTATTCTTTTATTCTTTGTGGACAAAAAATCAAAATATTTGATAATTTGTACTGTGAAAGAAAGTTTGAACATGTAAAAGGTTGAACAAATCAATATACGGTACCTAAGATGCCTCAAACTCATTCACAATTTTAGCTTAAATAAAAAAAAACATTTAATACAAAATACAACAATGTCTTACAACTTCTGGATGGCTCTTGATGAGGTCATTCTTCTCAACTATTTATAAGCAAGTACCTCACCAATAAATTTAATTACATAACAGAAACCTTTAAAGTCAATGATTCTAGTCTAAGCTTTTTACAATTTAATTAATTATTCATTCTAAACAAACCACAAAACATCAAAACAACAAAACCGTACTGTTTGGCCATACATTATGCAGCAGATGCATAACACACAAAACCAAAAAGATACCAGCAAAAAGTGTTGTGTAATTGTATATGTGTTAGTTGTATATGTGCCATTCATACTTGGCTTAAAATACCTACATTGTATGGTCGCCATTTCAAAGAAAAGTATTAAAGTAAAGTGTGTATGTTGTGTTAGTTGCACCTAAGGGATTGTTTCCTTGTTTGTCAAAGTAGGTCTTTCTTACCAAACGCCATGAGAGGTGACACGTTGGCAACCTGTGACATTCAGCATTTCCAGATCTTTGGCCGAGTGTGCGATGATAGACATTGTTAGATCATCAACACACAGCAGTTTAGATAGGTTCAACGATTTTAATCTGAAACATGTTTGAAAATCACTTAATACGCAACTAACCCACCTTTCTCACTCCATGCCATGGACAAAATAATAAGTTCTGTAAATAAGCATTCATCCGGCTATGATGAAATCCCAATTACCTTAGTTAAACATAACATGAGAAATATTTAATAAAACCCCTTAGTACATTTAATAAATTCCTCTTTCATTAGTGGCATTTTTCCAGATAAACTCAACATTTCCAAAATTAAGCTTCTTTTCAAGAAAGGAGATAAATCAACTATGTCAAATTATAGACCATTGTAGCTGCTACCAACAAAAATGTGGAATAGTGACGATTCTTCTGATGAAGAGCCTCCACAACACCGAAGAAGGACCTTCAAGCTGAGAAAAAAATTTCAATTTGAAAGTGCTTTTAAAATTAACAAAATATTTCGAATGCCGCCTCAAAAACTAGAAGAGCTTTTAGAAATAGTAGGTCCTAAACTTGAAAGAGAAACAGCATGAAACCATGCCAGTGGCGTAACAGTATTTCCCCGGGCCCCCCCGCAAATATGTCTGTGGGCCCCCTACTACCCCTCCCATTCCCCACCACAGCACTATATACCACAACCATCACCACACCACAACTATCACATGACGTAGGTGACGGCAGGAATACGACGGCAGGAATACGGCCTACACGATCAGACTGGCAGAGGATGGTCTCTAGCAATATTAAGTATTTACCTATTCTTCAACCACACGACCAGAGTCGTCCTTGAAACATATTTTATATTTTGTCACTGTCACAGTGATAATAAACTTGGGAGTTATGTCCGTGATTAATATATATGGGCTACTCCATTACTCCACCATTCACATTCATTACTAAACTCAACCAAGCTTCCAACTATAATTTGAGTCGGGACCACGAAAGTTTGCAGTTGAGGGAGTAGCATATTTACCATTTGACTTCAAATGAGCCAATGAGGGCAGTGCGGTGTTGTCAAATCGAATAATACCAGCTGTTTTAAAAATATTGTTTAGTATTTTAATTAGTGTCGTCAAAGGGCGATATGGCAACGTCGCACTAGTCTTGTGATTGGCTGCCGCCAACTGCAAACTTTCGTGGTCCCAACTGTAAATGTTAGTGCTTCACTAAATTAGCCCAATTTAATGACATGACACCTGATTGAGAAACTCTCGCGACATGCACTACTGACGAGTCACTCGCAATCCACATGGAATGGATCACCAAAATCAGGTGATCTACGTCTACGGTCAGCTGAGTACACGTGAGCGGTTAGTGGTGGAGGGGGAGGGCCGAGGGGCTGGCTCCGAGTGTGTGTCGCCACGGCGCGACGGCAGGCCGGCAAGCAGGCACACAGCTCCTAGCGCTAGCATGAAGCTACACAACCACACTGACAATACACATCGTCGGGTGATCGTAGTGAGCGTTGGCGTTTCGTTAACAATATTGTTAATTAAAAGATAAAACTTTAGTAGATTTGGCAGAATAAAAGTATCTACCAACACATCGTTTTTTTATTTATAATTTGTCAGGAGAGAAAAACATTCGTGAACAAAGGATCGGTTTTACGGACGGTTTTATGAGAAAAGGGTATCTTAACCTCGCGGGCCCCTAAACCTCGCGGGCCCCCCCGCACCGCGGGGTCTGCGGGGGCGGCTGTTACGCCACTGAACCATGCACTAACTTCAAAACAAGTTTTATGTATTGCCAATTGCCACCATAATGTTTATGTTATTGGATGGGTAATAGGAGCCAATACCATGGCCTCAGTGAACAAGCACAGTGTGCATAAGTCGACTGTATGTCGTGCCGTCCATAGCTTAGTTAGAGCAGTGAACAACACTCTCTTTCTGAGGGTAGTTGATTGGCCTGACGACATTGTACAAGTTGTTCTAGGGTTCCATGAAATTGCTGAAATGCCACTTGTAATTGGTTGCATCAATGGAACATTGATTAAAATATACGCCCTGGTTTTAAATGATCAACAGTATGTTGACCGTAAGAATAACCACTCCATCAATTGCATGGTGGTTTGTGCGTCTAACTATTCTTTCTTCTATGTAAGCGCCCGATGGCCTGGAAGCATTCACGACGTTAGAGTCCTATGAAACAGCGCGCTCTATCATAGAATCGAGGGTGGTTGGCGCCCTATTGAAGGAGGGGTACTGTTAGGAGACTCCGGGTATCCCCTGCTTGACTGGCTGATGACGACTACCGGAGTAAACCTTGAAGATCAGCCTGTTGTAAGATACAACCGAAAAAACAAGTGTAAAAGGCGCATTGTGGAAAACTCCCTTGACAAGCTAAAAGAAAAGTTTCCTTGTTTAAATCACTTGCGAGTGCAACCTGTTTTTGCATATGAAATTTTCAATAAGTTTTGTGTAGCCAACTACGCACGGCGTGCAGGTTTTATTGAAGTGGTTGAAAATGAGACAAAGTCGAAGACGATGTAAAAGAACAGAATGTGAAATGTGAATGAAGAACAATTTGACAGAGACGGGAACGTAAGGTTGCAGGGTTGCAGGAAATAAACAAACACTTCAGACATTGACAATAGCCTGAATCAGCACAATGCCTTTCTTCAAGTTTAATTTCCAATGCATGACTGTGTTCCCACGTTATTAAAATTGAAGCTTGTTTTCTGTATTGTGAAATAAAACTAATCTGTCTATTTTGTATGAATTTGTTTACTAATTGATTAGGATATTGGTGGTTGTATTAGTCTATATGAATATAGGCAGAATACTAAGAATAGTATACATTTTCATTTTGACATTAATAAAACGTAACTTCAAAAAAACTTAAGAACTTAAACTGAAACTTGAAACTAAACAACTCTATTATTTTTATAATGTTATAGTTAGTGAAGATTCTCGCTCCCTTCCTAACTTTATTATTCATTTTACCAAGTGCAACTGCTCTCTTTTAGGAAATCCAATATTTGAAAAAACAAATGAATGACGTATGTGTAATTTTATTGTAAAATTATAATCAGCTGTTTACAATTGTTGTACTTGTCCTTACAAGTATACAAATTATTCTAGCAACACCTGTAATTGTTAAATTGTAATTACATGGACCTGTAAACTGTAAGTATGTAAACTTATACTTGTAGTTTTATGCAATAGGCCCATATAAAATTACACATACAGAACCTTATTTGTTTGCTTTTTCAAATATTGGATTTCCCAAAGGAGAGTACTTGCACTTGGTAAAATGAATAATAAAATTAGGAAAGGAGCGAGAATCAAAATTCTAAAATTACACATACGTTATTTGTTTGCTTTTTCAAATATTGGATTTCCTAAAGGAGAGTACTTGCACTTGGTAAATGAATGATAAAATTAGAAAGTGAACGAGAATTGAAATTCTAAAAAGTTTTTTTTTATGTGTTTAGTAATATTCTAATTAGTTTCATAATTTCCTGTTTTTTATAGTAGTGGTTAGTCTATTAATCAATCGTTAACTAATCATCTTAGTGATCATAAATTATATAGTCCTTATTTGACTATGTCATCTTCACTTGCTATAACATTATAAAAATAATAGGGCTGTTTAGTTTAAAGTTACAGCTTGAGGTCCTTCTTCGGCAGTTTGAGGTCCTTCTTCGGCTTTGTGGAGGCTCTTCATCAGAAGAATCATCTTTATTCCATACGTTTGTCTTAAAAAGAATAAATTGTACAATAGCAACAAAGGTTTACAGGCCAAAGAAGCTAGGTACAAATTCTTAAATTTCTACAGGTATATGTAAAATTGTAATAATTTTATTGTAAATACAAGTTTACACACCTATAAAATTGTTAAAAAATGCTTGTAAATATGGGGTTTTGAGTAGTTTTTACAATTCTGTAACTTGTAGTTTATGAAACACCGGTAATTAGAATTTCTGAAGAATTCTTCAGAAATTTGCCTGTAAACTTGTTAAAATGTATTTTATGCAATAGGGCCCTTACAATTTTTGTACTTGTTCTTACAAGCATACAAACTATTCTAGCAACACCTGTAATTGTTAAATTGTAATTACAGGGACCTTTAAACTGTAAATATGTAAACCTTTCCTTATAGTTTTATGCAATAGGCCTGTTAGTAGTTGGTGATGTTTCAGTGAATTCAAGTAAAACTAGTTCAAATTAACACGGTTCTACTATATGTATTTACCGTCTTGAGAGGAAACATTATAAGTGTAAATATATTATTATAAGTGTTATTTGACATATTTTTTGTGATTTCAGGTAATTCAATAACACGTAAGATCTTGATCAAGAAGTTATTCTTAAAAATTATGATACTTTTTTAATGGTCTTGGAGATTATGAATTCGCCCTAAAAATGTATACAAGGATTACAAATATATCTGTTAGCCTACAATGTAATTTCAATTCCTACCTTACAGAAAGCTTAAGGAAATTGTTGATAGCCGTCACATCTGACACCGAGTGTGTCTCGGAAAGGTCAACTTCGACCAGTCTCCGCTGATGTAAGGTGATGCTTTGTAGACAACCAACTGTGAGCCACTTACAACCAGCCAATGAGAGACTCTCTAGCTGAAATTATAATTAGTTCAATTAATTTTTTACTTGCACTAAATTGTTGCATAATGATCCATTACATTTCTTGAGGTAATTTATTGACAGGATGCAGTGGTCCTCAAGGAGTCAGGGGTAATGTTCTCTACTTTAGAAAAATAGAGAATAATGTTTGATCAGGCAGAGAATCATTTTTACAACCAACATAGTAGGCAGTGGGCACTATATGATTTATGTCCAATCCACATGCTAACATTTGTTTGTACAAATGTCTGCAACCTGATGTGGATAATTTTCAATTTGAAAGTATACAAGTGGTTTGATAACGAGATTTAAAACATTTTAAGTAAAATGAAGTATTGATTAAATTATCATAGTCTTGTTTGTTGTTTGTTACATTGTTTTACAACAGACAAATTCTTAATAGAATTCTATATTTGGAAAAGGGATGGAATCAAATGGTTAACAGCAAAAAACGTAGTTAGATTTGAGGTATTTAATTTTGTTATGCAAATTCTAGTCTATTTTAATTACATAACTTAAGTTACATGATCAGTGACAGTACTTTTACTGTTACTGTATACAGAATCAGAATGGAATTTAAAAAAACGTCTTTAATATTCGAAATACATATAATTTATATCCCCAACTAGAATTAACATTTTTTAATTATCATAGTTCCTGATTTTTGCATCTATCTCTATGATCGCTTGTGGGAGGGGAAAACCACTAAAGGAGGAAGGGGGTCTGTATATTGCATGAATGAGGCATTTTGTGTGATCTGTTGAACCAAGAAGCTCTAATTCACTTGTTATGTTTATTGTTTTCATATGTTGTAGTGTGTGTTTTACTTGTAATTGGTGTAAAAATAAGCTTTTTCTTTTTGAGGCAGGCCTTGTATCTCAAGGTTGAATCAGGCCCGTTTTTGACCCTGTCAGCGCCCTAGGCACAACTAATAGTATTGCCCCTTTGCATTATATTCCATCCCCATGTTAAAGTTGTAGCCAGGTTTTTAAGAAAATTTGTCTTAGTTGATGTGAGCCCCCTACAGATTGCGCTGATCTAAATTACTGATTTCTGCCGATTACATGATGGTTTTTACCAAGTCAAACTCATGGAATGACTTATTATGAGCTATAGCAACTGTTGTGACCCAGCAACTATGTCAGTAACGAAAAATAAGGTACAAAATAGAGTTTTAGACACTAGCGCAATCTGTGACTGGCTCACACAACTACATTCTTATTTAGTAAGAAATTGGCGACAGCTGATCCATATAGATGGGATGTCTTCTTCTGTATCCAATAGTCAATGATTATATATAACAGGGTGTCCACTAACCAGGAAAGCTGGGAAATCCGGGTATAATGCGTAACATTTTTTTAAACCGGGAATTATACGTTAATTTTGTGTTACTGCCTGGAATTTTCAATTTACCGCAATTGCGCATGACAACTATGAAGTTTTCGTGACCGCGGGAGACATGCTGAGATATGTCTACACACGGCTGATAGGGATGATCAAAATTTTCCCCGATCGCAGAAGACGATGATGATATCCATACATACGGAGCCGCGAGGAATGATCAGAATATTGCCGCAATCATGTAAGACGATGATAATGTCCACACACGGCCGTAGGAAACAGCAAGAATTTTGCCGCGATTGCGGAAGACGATGATGATCTCCACACGACTGTGTCATATGATTTGACATTTTGCCGCAATCGTGGGAGACCATTAAGATGTCTTCACGACCGCGGGAAAAGTTCAGAATTTTGCCTCATTTGCGGAAGACGATGATCTCCACATGACCGCAGGAGATGATTACAATTTTCAAAATTGCTGGAGGCGATTACTTTGTCCAAACGACCGCGGTGAAGATATAATGATGACTTTACGGCCGCGAGGGGTGATCAGTATTTTATCGCGATCGCGCAAGACGATGATAATGTCCCCACGATTGCGGAAAAAGGTCAGAACTTTGCTCATTTGCGGAAGACGATGATGCCCACAAGACCGCGGGCGATGATTACCATTTTGCTGCAATCGCGGGAGGCGATTACATAAAGAACCGATTATGTCCACACGACCGCTGGGCCGTGGGGTACGATTTAATGATGTCTTCACGGCTGCAAGTGGTGATCAGAATTCAACCGCTGTTAAGCACGACAATGATATGTCCACACGACCGCGGGATATGTTCATATATTTCCGTGATCATGGAAGACGATAATTATGTCAAAATTATGTCTATACAACAGCGGAAAATAGTCAGAATTTTGCCGCAATCGCGGTAGACAATTGTTATGATGTCTACACGGCCACGAGGGATTATCAGAGTTTTAACGCGATCGTATGCAAATACACATCGGCAGCCAGCTCAAATGAAAAAAACTAAGCAAAAAGCCGTCAACCTGATAAAAAATATATCTGTGTTGAATTCAACGAAAACATCCAGTACAACCTCAAGAGACATCTAAAACACAACAACATTGCTTTATCTTTTACAACAAGTAATAAAGTAAATAATATCTTAAAGTACAATAGCCATAACAACAAAACAGATATATCCAGTTCAACAGGAATTAACAAAAAAATTGTGCCGAATGCGCTAGCTTTTTACATTGGACAAACGGGTCGAGCATTTAACACCCGTTATAAAGAACACCACCCAGACCCGAGAACAGATACACAAAAACCAACTTTTGCCCCACACCTTATTGACTGTAATCACGATATGAATGACATTAACACCGGTCTGGAAGTCCTACATTACTGTCAAGAGGGAAATAAAATGGACGTCTTGAAGGAGTTTGAAATCTACAAATCAATAAAAAATCTGGATTCCAACAACCATATCCTGAATGACAAATTCGCAGTTTAAGTTAAAACCGGCAATGTTGTATACTCGTGATAGGCCTATCAAACTAAAAGTATTTATTTTTATGTCGTACGTGTTGTGTGTAAATGTTGTTTGTCGTGTAATGTGTTATGTTATTCACATATTACAAGGTTATGCGAGTTTTCCGATGAAGCAGCACGGTGACGCAGGAGACTCCACTGCGCAGCAGAAATCAAAGTGTAGTACAGACTTGTAAAACTTGGGTATATAATGAAAGTGTAACGCATTTTGAGTTTTGATTGTTGTTAGGGGCATCTTGGAGATGACAAAAAGCTATGTTGTCGCCCTCCCAGAAGGTGCACAACTTGTGGGGAAGGGGAAAGTAGCGCTGAAGCGCGTTCTCTCATCGCTCATATCTCGCGAACTAAACATGTTAGAAAAATGCTTTAAACGGCATTGTATAACAAACCTCATCTGCTACATCCTACAGCCAAATCCCATATCAATGATAATAATTTAGTTATTTAACATTTTATTTGAAATTATTAATTTAAAATTCAAATACTGTTAATCTACCTATATAAAAAAGCACACTTAAAACAATGAATAGTAGCCTACTGTGTCTGGATTGCATTGTATGTTTAACACAGGAATTAAAAAACATAAGGTGTTCTTTCCTTAAAGTAGTACGAGGTCCCGAGTTAACGAGAAAATAGTTAAAAGTTGTTTTTAACACTTGGCTATTTTTAATATAAAATTCAAACAAAAATCTAGGTACAACTACCAATGAAAATGCTTCAGTTTAGAATGTATGCAGTTTTTATTAAAAGAATATTAAAATAGGCTTGAAAATGTAGTATTTCATTTTAAAACATTACTAGGTACTACACTATAGACTACATATATCAAAACAATCCAGATAATATTTCTGTCATCCTGTTTGAAATTCATTATGATGAGGTTTTCTACAATTTTTAACACATTTGCAATAGGAGCAGCAGGATGAGTTGTTTAACTACAGCTACAAGTTGCTCTGGAACAAGTCTTGCATTTACATGGTTTTAACAAATTTGTAGGAGCCGGAGGCAGTGTCATAAGGGGGCCAAGAGTTGTCTCCTGTACTGTAATAGATCCAAAGGCTCTATTTCATCTGTTAAGTAATTTTCCCAAAAATATAGCTGGGCACAACACAGTAAAAGGTGTAATTTGAAGCTGTCCGTTGTGCAAGACATTATCTGAGTTCGTATTGAGGATAGATTTTTCAAATCTTGACATTAGTGCCGACACTCACGTCACCATCACGCTTAATCAGAAATCTCAAATTTGGATATAATTACCATATAAAGTCATTTGGGTATATTAAACATACAATGCACTCCAAACACAGTACTATTCATGTTAAGTGTATTGTTGTTTTTCATGGTAACATTTTTAAAGCAGATGAGGTTAATAATAAAATGCCGTTTAAAACATGTTTCTATCAAGTCTAGTTCACGAGATATGAGTCAAGTTCTAGAACGCGCTTTAGCGCTACTTTCCCCCCTCCCCACAAGTTGTGCACCTTCTTGGAGGGCGACAACATCGGTTTTTGTCATTCCTAAGATGCCCCTAACAACAATCAAAAGTCAAAACGTGTAACACTTTCAGTATATACCCAAGTTTTACATGTCTATACTACACTTTGATTTCTGCCGCGCAGTGGTGTCACCCGCGTCACAGTGCCGCTTCATTGGAAACCTTGTAATATGTCGATATAATTACCATATAAAGTGACTTTAGTGTGTTAAAGATACAACACACAATGACAGTCAGTACTATTTGTTGTTTAAAGGTGTTTTAATGGGTAGTTCAACGTTATTTGGCGTTTTTAATACATACCGGTATTTTAAAATAAAATGATAAATAACTCAATTAATATCATAGATACGGGATTTTCCCAGTAAAATTTTTAAAGCGGATGGTGTTTGTAATACAATGCCTTTTAAAACATGTTTCTATTGTGTCTAGTTCACGGGATATGAGCAATGTTCTAGAACGCGCCTCAGCGCTACATCCCCCTCCCCCCCCACAAGTTGTGCAGCTGCTGGGAGGGCAACAACATCGGTTTTTGTCATCTCCAAGATGCCCCTAACAACAATCAAAAGTAAAAAGAGATACACTTTCAGTGCATACAGTACTCAACCCCCTATATATGCTGGACTAAATGTTAAATTATATTTCTCTTAAACGTTCAAGGTTTATTTAATTTAGACACAACAACAATATAACATAGCTTAATAAGATAACTACCAGATATTCACTTACCCTACAGAGTATAATTACTGGTTGTAAACACACACTTGTCAAATTCTTGCAGTGATTCAAGACAATCTTTTTCAAATGTAGATTATTTTTAAAGAATGGTATGATTAGTTCATCCGTTAACCATTGGCAGTTGGTAAAAACAATTGTTTTCAATTGTGAACATTTATCAGTCAAAACCTGAAATAATATAAAAGCATTTAATTTGAGATCATAAGTTGTTAGGACTCTAAAGACATAATCATATTGAATTGTGACACAAAAACAAACATAGGTAATAAGTTTATTTTTACCAGGATAAGTAATTAATTGTTACTTGTCAAGTCAGTACATGGAGCAGCCAAACCTCTAGATCTATTGTTACTAGTCAAGTCAGTACATGGAGCAGCCAACCTATAGATCTAATGTTACTTAGTCAAGTCAGTACATGGAGCAGCCAACCTCTAGATCTATTGTTACTAGTCAAGTCAGTACATGGAGCAGCCAACCTCTAGATCTAATGTTACTAGTCAAGTCAGAGCATGGAGCAGCCAGCCAACCTCTAGATCTATTGTTACTAGTCAAGTCAGTACCTGGAGCAGCCAACCTCTAGATCTAATGTTACTTGTCAAGTCAGTACATGGAGCAGCCAACCTCTAGATCTATTGTTACTAGTCAAGTCAGAGCATGGAGCAGCCAGCCAACCTCTAGATCTATTGTTACTAGTCAAGTCAGTACATGGAGCAGCCAACCTCTAGATCTAATGTTACTTAGTCAAGTCAGTACATGGAGCAGCCAACCTCTAAATCTATTGTTACTAGTCAAGTCAGTACATGGAGCAGCCAGCCAACCTCTAGATCTATTGTTACTAGTCAAGTCAGTACATGGAGCAGCCAACCTCTAGATCTAATGTTACTAGTCAAGTCAGTACATGGAGCAGCCAACCTCTAGATCTAATGTTACTAGTCAAGTCAGTACATGGAGCAGCCAGCCAACCTCTAGATCAATTGTTACTAGTCAAGTCAGTACATGGAGCAGCCAACCTCTAGATCTAATGTTACTAGTCAAGTCAGTACATGGAGCAGCCAACCTCTAGATCTAATGTTACTAGTCAAGTCAGTACATGGTGCAGCCAGCCAACCTCTAGATCTATTGTTACTAGTCAAGTCAGTACATGGAGCAGCCAACCTCTAGATCTAATGTTACTTAGTCAAGTCAGTACATGGAGCAGCCAACCTCTAGATCTATTGTTACTAGTCAAGTCAGTACATGGAGCAGCCAGCCAACCTCTAGATCTATTGTTACTAGTCAAGTCAGTACATGGAGAAGCCAACCTCTAGATCTATTGTTACTAGTCAAGTCAGTACATGGAGCAGCCAACCTCTAGATCTAATGTTACTTAGTCAAGTCAGTACATGGAGCAGCCAACCTCTAGATCTATTGTTACTAGTCAAGACACTACATGGAGCAGCCAACCTCTAGATCTAATGTTACTTAGTCAAGTCAGTACATGGAGCAGCCAACCTCTAGATCTAATGTTACTTAGTCAAGTCAGTACATGGAGCAGCCAACCTCTAGATCTATTGTTACTAGTCAAGTCAGTACATGGAGCAGCCAGCCAACCTCTAGATCTATTGTTACTAGTCAAGTCAGTACATGGAGCAGCCAACCTCTAGATCTAATGTTACTTAGTCAAGTCAGTACATGGAGCAGCCAACCTCTAGATCTATTGTTACTAGTCAAGTCAGTACATGGAGCAGCCAGCCAACCTCTAGATCTATTGTTACTAGTCAAGTCAGTACATGGAGCAGCCAACCTCTAGATCTAATGTTACTTAGTCAAGTCAGTACATGGAGCAGCCAACCTCTAGATCTATTGTTACTAGTCAAGTCAGTACATGGAGCAGCCAGCCAACCTCTAGTTCTATTGTTACTAGTCAAGTCAGTACATGGAGAAGCCAACCTCTAGATCTATTGTTACTAGTCAAGTCAGTACATGGAGCAGCCAACCTCTAGATCTAATGTTACTTAGTCAAGTCAGTACATGGAGCAGCCAACCTCTAGATCTATTGTTACTAGTCAAGACACTACATGGAGCAGCCAACCTCTAGATCTAATGTTACTTAGTCAAGTCAGTACATGGAGCAGCCAACCTCTAGATCTATTGTTACTAGTCAAGTCAGTACATGGAGCAGCCAGCCAACCTCTAGATCTATTGTTACTTGTCAAGTCAGAGCATGGAGCAGCCAGCCAACCTCTAGATCTATTGTTACTAGTCAAGTCAGTACATGGAGCAGCCAACCTCTAAATCTAATGTTACTTAGTCAAGTCAGTACATGGAGCAGCCAACCTCTAGATCTATTGTTACTTGTCAAGTCAGAGCATGGAGCAGCCAGCCAACCTCTAGATCTATTGTTACTAGTCAAGTCAGTACATGGAGCAGCCAACCTCTAGATCTAATGTTACTTAGTCAAGTCAGTACATGGAGCAGCCAACCTCTAGATCTATTGTTACTAGTCAAGACACTACATGGAGCAGCCAACCTCTAGATCTAATGTTACTTAGACAAGTCAGTACATGGAGCAGCCAACCTCTAGATCTATTGTTACTAGTCAAGTCAGTACATGGAGCAGCCAGCCAACCTCTAGATCTATTGTTACTAGTCAAGTCAGTACATGGAGCAGCCAGCCAACCTCTAGATCTATTGTTACTAGTCAAGTCAGAGCATGGAGCAGCCAGCCAACCTCTAGATCTATTGTTACTAGTCAAGTCAGTACATGGAGCAGCCAACCTCTAGATCTAATGTTACTTAGTCAAGTCAGTACATGGAGCAGCCAACCTCTAGATCTATTGTTACTAGTCAAGACACTACATGGAGCAGCCAACCTCTAGATCTAATGTTACTTAGTCAAGTCAGTACATGGAGCAGCCAACCTCTAGATCTATTGTTACTAGTCAAGTCAGTACATGGAGCAGCCAGCCAACCTCTAGATCTATTGTTACTTGTCAAGTCAGTACATGGAGCAGCCAAACCTCTAGATCTATTGTTACTAGTCAAGTCAGTACATGGAGCAGCCAACCTCTAGATCTAATGTTACTTAGTCAAGTCAGTACATGGAGCAGCCAACCTCTAGATCTATTGTTACTAGTCAAGTCAGTACATGGAGCAGCCAACCTCTAGATCTAATGTTACTAGTCAAGTCAGAGCATGGAGCAGCCAGCCAACCTCTAGATCTAATGTTACTTGTCAAGTCAGTACATGGAGCAGCCAACCTCTAGATCTAATGTTACTTAGTCAAGTCAGTACATGGAGCAGCCAACCTCTAGATCTAATGTTACTAGTCAAGTCAGAGCATGGAGCAGCCAGCCAACCTCTAGATCTAATGTTACTTGTCAAGTCAGTACATGGAGCAGCCAACCTCTAGATCTAATGTTACTTAGTCAAGTCAGTACATGGAGCAGCCAACCTCTAGATCTATTGTTACTAGTCAAGTCAGTACATGGAGCAGCCAACCTCTAGATCTAATGTTACTTAGTCAAGTCAGTACATGGAGCAGCCAGCCATCCTCTAGATCTATTGTTACTAGTCAAGTCAGTACATGGAGCAGCCAACCTCTAGATCTAATGTTACTTGTCAAGTCAGTACATGGAGCAACCAACCTCTAGATCTATTGTTACTAGTCAAGTCAGAGCATGGAGCAGCCAGCCAACCTCTAGATCTATTGTTACTAGTCAAGTCAGTACATGGAGCAGCCAACCTCTAGATCTAATGTTACTTAGTCAAGTCAGTACATGGAGCAGCCAACCTCTAGATCTATTGTTACTAGTCAAGTCAGTACATGGAGCAGCCAGCCAACCTCTAGATCTATTGTTACTAGTCAAGTCAGTACATGGAGCAGCCAACCTGTAGATCTAATGTTACTAGTCAAGTCAGTACATGGAGCAGCCAACCTCTAGATCTAATGTTACTAGTCAAGTCAGTACATGGAGCAGCCAGCCAACCTCTAGATCTATTGTTACTAGTCAAGTCAGTACATGGAGCAGCCAACCTCTAGATCTAATGTTACTAGTCAAGTCAGTACATGGAGCAGCCAACCTCTAGATCTAATGTTACTAGTCAAGTCAGTACATGGAGCAGCCAACCTCTAGATCTAATGTTACTAGTCAAGTCAGTACATGGAGCAGCCAACCTCTAGATCTAATGTTACTAGTCAAGTCAGTACATGGAGCAGCCAACCTCTAGATCTATTGTTACTAGTCAAGTCAGTACATGGAGCAGCCAACCTCTAGATCTAATGTTACTAGTCAAGTCAGTACATGGAGCAGCCAACCTCTAGATCTAATGTTACTAGTCAAGTCAGTACATGGAGCAGCCAGCCAACCTCTAGATCTATTGTTACTAGTCAAGTCAGTACATGGAGCAGCCAACCTCTAGATCTAATGTTACTTAGTCAAGTCAGTACATGGAGCAGCCAACCTCTAGATCTATTGTTACTAGTCAAGTCAGTACATGGAGCAGCCAGCCAACCTCTAGATCTATTGTTACTAGTCAAGTCAGTACATGGAGAAGCCAACCTCTAGATCTATTGTTACTAGTCAAGTCAGTACATGGAGCAGCCAACCTCTAGATCTAATGTTACTTAGTCAAGTCAGTACATGGAGCAGCCAACCTCTAGATCTATTGTTACTAGTCAAGACACTACATGGAGCAGCCAACCTCTAGATCTAATGTTACTTAGTCAAGTCAGTACATGGAGCAGCCAACCTCTAGATCTAATGTTACTTAGTCAAGTCAGTACATGGAGCAGCCAACCTCTAGATCTATTGTTACTAGTCAAGTCAGTACATGGAGCAGCCAGCCAACCTCTAGATCTATTGTTACTAGTCAAGTCAGTACATGGAGCAGCCAACCTCTAGATCTAATGTTACTTAGTCAAGTCAGTACATGGAGCAGCCAACCTCTAGATCTATTGTTACTAGTCAAGTCAGTACATGGAGCAGCCAGCCAACCTCTAGATCTATTGTTACTAGTCAAGTCAGTACATGGAGCAGCCAACCTCTAGATCTATTGTTACTAGTCAAGTCAGTACATGGAGAAGCCAACCTCTAGATCTATTGTTACTAGTCAAGTCAGTACATGGAGCAGCCAACCTCTAGATCTAATGTTACTTAGTCAAGTCAGTACATGGAGCAGCCAACCTC